AAAGGATTTAGACGATTCACAAAAATGATCAATTTAAGAAATAAAATGGCGGATTTCCGCGGATCCGCGGAAAATTGCCATGTATGTAATATGCATGTTTTTAATGGAAATGCCAACCAGTTATTCTGTGATGAATTAATATTAACTTGTCTGCAAATTTATCTCAATTAACATTTCACTTTTTTTATCAACTTTCCTATGAATTTCTCAGATCATTGCATATTCCGAGATACAGAAGTGTGAAGATGCCAGCCCCACTAATTGAGATTGCAACAATTTTCACCACTAATGACAGCAGTGAGTCTCAGATGTTAAACTTGACTCTATTCACTGTCCACTTGAATTTCAGCATTAACTTGCCAATGTCATCCGTCAATCCATTTTCTAATCCATTTATCCTCACGGGGGTCGCAGGCATGCTACAGCCTATCCCAGATTTCTTCGGGCAGTAGGTGGGGTACACCCTGAACTGGTTGCCAGCCAATCGTAGGGCATACATTGACGAACAACCCTTCGCAATCACGCTCATGCCTATCCCAATCAACCTGCCATGCATGAGTTTTGGAATATGGGAGGAAACCAGAGTACTCGGAGAAAATCCACACAGCCACGGGGAGAATATGCAAACTCCACACAGGAAGGCCGGAGCCAGCATCAAACCCTTCACCTTTGCACTGTGAGGCCAACATGCTAACTTGTCGACCACCGTGCGGCCAGGCCAGCATTAACATTAAATATTGAGGATTAGTGTTAATTTTCTACTGCAGGTTATTTTTGACACTGCAGCAAGACCAAGACCAAATAGACTAGGATAGTGTTAAAGTTGACAATAGAACATTTACTGTGCGTTACAAAAAAAAAAAAAAATGTATGAAACAGGATGTGCACAGGCAAGAGTACTGCACATCCATTCATGTCCAGCATGGCTGAAGACAAGACTTTTTGTTGCATCTGCGCCTGAAAATGTAACCTTTTTAAAATGGAAGGATTACACAATGCTACATTGAGTGCAATATGTTGAACAATTAGTTATTTGTTCATGCAGTGACAGTGGTGGCATCTTTGGCCTTTGAACGTGCACATTTAATTTGGATGCCTTTGCTCTACTTGAAATATTGAACAAGAAGAATGACAGACTACCAACATCCACGTTTGCCATGTAAATGTGATCAATTGTCTCTGCATTGAACATTTCCTGTACCAAGTGCATTTAACCCAAACCCTGCTACAGTATATCCAAACACTCACCCATGGGAGTGAAGAAAAGATAGGAATCAACACAGAATATTTGTTTCCTCTTGCCCCCTTTCACATTCTTTTCCTCCACAGCGGCGTCTCACTGACTTTTCCAAGTTTGTGCTCAGCTGTAATTTAGCAAGTTCTGCCAAAGCACTGTCTGTCATTCACGCCGCATTGAGAGACAAGTACACTCAATGAAATAAATATTGAAAGATTGATATCATGTTACAATAACACCCTGACACCTATACTCACCAGAAAGTTCATTTTTCCCTTGCTGCAGTTCCCAGAGCCCTTGTGAAATATATTTCCAACCAATTTGATGAGCTCGTGTCTCCTCCTCCCCACAAGCTTCCACAGTCCACGTATCTTTCTATGTCCTCCCTCCCTTCCTCAGTAAAATTTCTTCCCCTCTCTTGTACAATCTTGCCCTCGAGTATCAAGCAGTTCTCGACACATTCTGCTGCTCTGTGATCTCACACAACAAGAATGAGGCTGTTGTTTGTTACGTCTTGCCCCTTCTGGTGCCCTCCCTCTCGCCTGAGGAAAGGTGGGAGGAGTGTGTAACCCAACACGTCACTTACAGTTGGGTCCTGAAATTTCCCTGAACCAATCTGACCAATGGCTCTAAACTGTGTCAGTCAAAACAAATAAAACCCTGAGCCCCATCCTCTCTTCTCTCTAGTTCTTTCTTGCCTTCAAAGTTGTGTGTCACAGCTCTCTGGCTGTGACACACAAACTCTCCAGTGGTTGCAAGATAGAATAGTATAATGGATATATCCTTCATTTTTTACAAAGGTACTGCGATGGTTTCATATTCAACTGTGCTCAACTTAAAGAAGGTATTTGAAGTTTAAAAAACACACTTTTTGTTGTACGCATTAAATATATAACAAAATACATATATATGATGCCACTGTCAAAGCTCACCTAACTTGAATACATTGATTTATTTGCTACGTTTTACGTCCTTTTCTGCCTCAGTAGCGAAAATGCCACAGCTGGTGGTGTACGGTTGTACCAAAAGGTCTGGAAGAAACGGTATATGCACATTTCATCAGTAAGAATGAAATAATAAATGTTCTCTCATAAGGTATATCTCAGGGTTCTACTCAAAGATTTGTTTGCATCATGTTGTCAGAACCATGAACATCCATCCATCCATCCATCCATTTTCCGATCCGCTTATCCTCACATGGGTCACAGGCATGCTGGAGCCTATCCTGGCTGTCTTCGTGCAGTCGGCGGGGTACACCCTGAATTCATTGCCAGCCAATCACAGTGTACACATTGACGAACAACCATCCATGCTCACAATTACACTTTTGAGTGTTCTATTGACCTGTAACGTTTTTTTTCTGACTTAATAGAGGTGAGGTTGGAAGTTTTCACCTTCATAAAAACAACACCTGCTTTGCTTGTACTTTAAACGGGGCGATGATGTCATCGTGGGATGATAACCGGTTCTTATTTGTGCTGGTCATTTCATTTCAGGGCACTGAATGGATTGGCAAGTGCCCTACAAGGCCTCTCGTCTGAGCGGGCTTCATCAGCTCATGCAATTGCCCAAACCTGAAGCTGCTTGGGAGAGAGGCCAAACATCGTCCAGGACAAGCAAAACAGTTCAGTTGCCATCCAGCGGATGCCCTGAAATGG